GGTTTTTAGTGACGAGGGGCATTATCGCGAGAGCCGAAGGCACGAGCCTTGTAGGAGGGTCTGGGGTGTGTCCCCCAGAAAAATTTTCAAATTTGGAGGCTCGAAATGCTATTTTCAGCACTTGTCATGAGATATGTCTCCGAAAAATCAACCTCGAAGATGAAAATGGCAAACAATTGCAAGTCACTATAATCAACATAACTGAGTCTAAAGAAAACAAATCCATCCACAGACTTGATTTGTCTGGCTCAACAGGTCCAGGGGAGGCAGCTGCCCTTCGGCTCTGTTACCACGTTGAACTGGCTTGGTTGATCTTTCTCTGACATATACATAGGTTGAAAGCTTCTGATTGAGGGTGTTGTGGTCTCAATTATTCTTGAGCGATTTCTGCAACAAGCTTTTGCCTTTCGAACACCTCGTCTTCTTGCTGCAGATCTCTATAGTCAAGTTCAGTGTATATTCAAGTTCATTACATTGGTTATTTCGTCCATTGCCTTATTGTAATTACACTTAGGACTATGTTTAGGTGTTGACTCAAACGGGCCTAGAGTCCAACATGGGCTGGCAATAGGTGAGCACGGAATTGGAATGGGGGCGGGGGGAACTCCCTATGATGGGCTATACGGGGAGGCTCCACCCGAGAGGGGTATCTTTTTCAGGCTTCAGGTATATGAAAGGGTACGCATTTCACTAGATGAAGTATATGAAAGGGCGAGTGCGCTTATTGCAGCCTTAGCAGCACCTTTGGCGGTTCTTAAAGGAAAAAGAACTAAGTTTAAGAATTTAAGGAAAAAGTAGAAGGACTTAATTTTTCAGGAATTAATATACAGAGGAGAAATTTCACCCTTTAAGTATAAATGCTTGTAAAAGTAGAGGTGGAACCGGAGGGAGAGAGGGTGGATCGTAAAGTAGGTTAAAAATAAAGAGATGGGTGGAGCACTTTGATGGAGCACATTGTTCAAGAGGGTATAAATACAAAAAAAAAACAGCAATCTGGAGGCATTTTTGAAGACTTAATGGAAACGTTATCAAAACAAGAAAAACAGAGAAATCTTGTCCAATAAACCTCTCCGGCAACGGTGTGGACATGGTTGCTGACTGCTCAATCGTACTCTTCTCGACCCTTTGGCGTCAAGTTTTTTCACGTTTCTTGCCACAGGAGGAACAAATCGGCTATATAAAGTTGAACTGAACACTCTGGTACTTTTAAGTCTCACTAATTTTTACAAAACCAGAGACATGTTTTAACACTGTTTAAGTTCAAAAAGATTGTTTTTATTGCAAGAATGAAATATTTTTCACATACGTCCCAAGGACATTCCTCTTAGAAAATGGCAGGGGCGGGAAAGCCCTGGGGACGAGGTTGAATCCTGACTCCGTGTAGAAAGTTCTTTCCTTTTTCCCCATTTACAATGCTCTTCAAACAATCATCAGAAAACTATCTTCTACAACACACGGATTAACCTTTATGTATAGTATTTTATAGGTGAGAATTGATTAGAGCAAGATACACGGCTGTCAAAAAATAGAAATAAATAAACTATCTTTGCAAGCTCAACTAAACTGGAAA